ATAAGACTATGGGCCAATAGAATGAACAATGCTCGCATTCAGGGTCTTTAACACACAGACATCATCAGTTCTCCGGTGAATATATGCACTACTAATTAAACTGCTCAGTTTAATCAGGCGGCTAGCACTCAGTGGGTAATACTGCTGCCTTGAAGCAAGAAGTTTGCAGGTCGATTCCCGGCCCGGGGTCTTTCTGCATGGAGTTCGCATGTTCTCCCTGATCATGCATGGTTTCTCTCCGGGTACTCTGACTTCCTCCCACAGTCCAAAAAGATGACAGGTTGACTGGCTTATCTACATCCTCCTTAGGTGTGAGTTTGTCTGTGAATGGTTGTTTGTCCTGTTTGTCTCTGTGTTGCCCTGTGATGGACTGGCAACCTGTCCAGGGTGGACCCCGCCTCTCGCCCATAGACAGCAGGAGATAGACACCAGCACCCCTCACCAATTCAGAAGGGATAAACATGATGGAAAATGAATGGTTGGATAATTTAACTTCACAATAGATTTAGTCAGCTGACGTGAACCTGAGTCACTGTGTTTATGTCAAAGGCAAACCACAAGTAAATAATTATACTATTGTGCTATTTAAACATTATTGAACAAATATTGATCAAAATAACACTCTAAATATTAAACTGCACAAATAGATATGAAGGTACAGGCAGGGCACCATGCCTGGTTACAGGTGTCCAAATGTTCAGGTGCGCTCTGAGGGTCGTGGAGATATAGTCCTTCGGGCAAGTGGCTTTCACATTTCATTTGCCCAGAAACAATTTTTACTTGCCCAGTATAATGTTTGATAAATATAGTTCCTAATATTCATTTTTGTATAATATATATATTAATGAAACATGTTTGTTTTTTTAAATGTTTTTTTTTAATTCAGTAAGTTTCCAGGTTCCTGGTGTGTTTATGCATGCGTCAGATAATGAACTCAAGCCTACATTACCGTGTTAACATGCTTTTCAATCCTTCCTGCACATTCTTTTCAAACTAAACTTTGCTTTAAACTGTTGTGTGCTTGAAAAATATAAATTGTAATGTTAAAAATCTAAAAAAAAAATTGACAGGTTAAAAACTTACACTACTACTACTCACCAATTTAACATGTTTAGCTCTATAACATTTAAATGCACCACTCCAATGTCCAAGAGAAAAAAATTTAATGAAAATTTTTTAATGTATGACCTGCATCACTGTACAGAAGACTGCCATATGATAGGAATATTTACACTGTGCGCATCCAATTATTATTTTCCTAATCCCTGACTGATCATTTTTAATCTAGCGTGTATTATAGTATAGATTAAATTCATCATCCAGCTGCTGCTCTGCAGAACTCTCTTCCCAAGAGCCGAATCACGCCATCTAGCGGAAAATCACGCGGCTTTTTCGAATCACGCGAGAATGTGTACAATACATCAAAAATGGCGCCGGAAACGCTTGTGGGTCGTTTTCAGCGAATGTCGGTGATTTTAAAGTAATTTTGAGTAATAAATATTTTTTTTTTTGCGATCGAAATTTGTACTCTCCCGACAATAAAAACTACTTGCCCCGGGCGATCGGGCGAAGGTTAACATCGAGCCCTGGACTATATAACTTTACTAGTCTGCTACCGCGTGTGGGATTCCACACACTAGCTTGTTTGACGTTACCATGACAACGTAACCTCCATGAACTTGTGTTGATTAGGCCTTAAAAAATAGTTAAATTAAAATCCAAATATGCGCAATAGTGAAATGAAAAAAAAATAATTTTCCAATTTTTAAACTGTGCAAAGTATTTTTAAATATCTTTTTTTTTTATCTCCCTCTTGCCATGCCATGCCATGCTTATTTTAAGAAACATTGACTTAGATTTATATTTTTTGGCGTCTCGTCTGGGGCTGCTTCCTACAGGGGGCGCCACAGCAGACTATCTTCCTCCATCGCTCCCCATCCCAAGCATCGCTGTGTGTTCTCTATCTGCCTCCTCAGTAGCTGATCCACCTTTGACCCCTGCTGTGAACAAGTCCCAAATATCTGGCTGTTCGCTCTCTCACCGTGGCTTCAAACATCCTCAGCTGTCCCTCTGATATTTTTATGGCTGATTCGATTCCCTCTGGCTCCTAAAACAAACCAAAAAATGCTCCGCCAACTGCAGCCCTTCCTGTTGATGCCACCATCTCCAAACACATCCAATCAGGACTCACCAGCTCCCTGATAATATTAACTTTCCTTCTTGGAGCTTTCTTTCACCTATCACTTCTGTCTCCAACCTGCCTGCTCCTTCTCTTCTAGCCTGCTGCTGTATGCCGCCCACAGGAACTGAATAATAAAACATACAATAATAATGAATGAAATTCACCACAATTGTTTCCATACATACTAAAGTATTAAGTGGGAACCTTTGTACTCGCCTTTTCTTGTCCATCCATGAATCTGAAGCACCAGCAGCAACTCAAGCTTCGGTCCACTGCAGGCATCTAGGAGTGACTCGTTTTGGGGCAGCTAACATTAATCTCAGCATCCAGCTGCAGCACTATTTCACCAGCATGCCCACATTGACCAGATGAAGGGCTTAGAGCTAACAATGTAAGTCTACATCTTCAAAGGGAAAACCAGGTGAAACAGGTTGGGACATGGATTGCTCGTCTTAGAAACCGTCTCCCATATTATGCTAAATTCACATTATAAACATTGTCTAACATTCATTTCCGTCCTGAAGCCTTTATACGAGGTTCACCTTTCACCTCTATCATTGGCTTTCACCTCACCAGTGCTCAAAATGCCCTGTTTGAAAGTCGTTCCCCTGATGATGTCATCAAGGGAAAAAAGAGATCCAAAACGGTTTGTAGCAGCCCAGCATTCAGGGCTTCATCTCATTAACATTTCATGCTTCTTGGTAGGGCTGGGCGATAATTCAATAACGATATATATCGTT